CCGTGGGGGACCCACGCTGGAGCAGTCTGTTCCTGAAGGACTGCACCCCGTGGAAGGGACCCACGCTGGAGCAGTTCATGAAGAACTGTAGCCCATGGGAAGGACCCATGTTGGAGAAATTAATGGAGGACTGTCTCCCATGGGAGGGACCCCACACTGGAGCAGGGGAAGAGTGTGAGGCGGCAGGAGCAGAAGAGACAGCGTGTGATGAACTGACCCCCATTCCCCGTCCACCTACACCATGGTGGGGGAGGAGGTAAAAAAATCAGGAGTGAAGTTGAGCCTGGGAAGAAGGAGGCAGGAGGGAGGGAGGTATTTTAAGATTTGTTTTCTCATTATCCTGCCCTGACTTTGATTTGCAATAAATTAACCTGATTTCCCCAAGTCAAGTCTGTTTTGCCCGTGACGGTAATTGGTGAGTGATCTCTCCCTTGTCCTTATCTCGACCCAGGAGCCTTTCATTCTGTTTTCTCTCCCCTGTCCAGCTGAGAAGGGGAGTGATAGAGCAGCTTTGGTGGGCACCTGGCGTCCAGCCGGGGTCAACCCACCACAGACTCTTATTTCCCGCTTACATCCACACACCCACACTATACCTGTACCTTCACACCTATCGCTGTGTGGTAGAAAGAATTAGATTTCTTACTGAGAAGCCTAAAAACTGTGTTGCCTCTCCTAGACCCGTGTAAAAGTAGGAGACTGCCAGTCCCATGGTGAGAGTCTCTAAACACTTTGTCTATGCAGAGGTGCATGACTGCCCCTGCTGCAGAGCTTCCACACACCTTTGATCACCTTCATGGTTCTTCTCTGTACCTTTTTCTGCTCCACCACGCCCAGTTTGAGCTAGGGAGAGCAGAAACCAAACCCTAAGTACAGTATTGATCTGCAAATAAGAGAGAGGCACTGACTGAGCAGTCTTGGGACTTTGGCACAAAGAAGACATAAAATTCATTGCATGAGGTCCGTGAGGGCCTATTTGCTTCTCTGTTGCCCACCTCTGGGGATTTGCTGAAATTTTCATGGAAAGAGGGCTGTTTTATGCTTAGAGGAGACATTGCTGAACTACCCACATATTTTCAGACATCTGCAGATAACCTGTAGCTTGAAAAAGCAGTAAGGAACTGAAAGATTCTCTCGTCTCCAGAGGGTTGTGTTCAAGGTCATGGAGAAGGAAAGAGGGAAAATGACACCCTTCCTTCCCAAATCCCTACCCCATGAGACCACTGGCAGCTCTGCAGCTTGTTGTCACTGGACATTCAGGTTTTTTTGGTGCTGCCGAGCCTTTGGGCTGGGCTTGGAGAACCTGTTTTAACACGGGATCATGGGGACACAAGTAACCACACGGCACACACCAGAGTTACATCTCCTTTTTTTTCTCTTTTTAATTATTGAGAGGAGGGGATGACAATTGGGTGAGACAGTTGAGAAGCTGCTCCCAAAGCCACCGCGGTGCCTCGTGTTCCCCAGAAGCTTCCTCTTCAGCGCCTATTTCCCCTTCCAGCCGGGCGGGAGGCAGCAGTAGTGCTTGCAGTCGGAGGAGAAGGACCACACGTCCGCCTTGGCGCACATGCTGGAGCAGTACCCCACCTTGGGGCAGTGCTTCCTTATCTGCCCGTAGCCTGCAAGGGGGAGACAGGGGGAGAGTGCTTGGGTCAGGGTAGGTGCCTCTGCGCCCCACTGCCGTGCCCTCCCATCACCTCCAGGAGTAAGTGTGGCAGTGGTCAGAAGGATGAGACCCTGCTTGTGGGGAGGTCCTGCCCCGGTCTCCCACACACCCACCACTCCTGCCCAAGCCCACCCCCAAAGTGGGAAGTGACCTGGAAGAGCACAAGCCTGAGAAACTCCTTGTGCATCCCTCTCCCCCCAGGTGGTGACTGCAGGGGCCGGCTGATGACACAGGTGCAGTTTGGGAAAGAGATGCTCCCACGGAGAGCACATTCATTGCCCGCATTAAGGGACACCCCAAAAGCAAAGTTCATAAAGATCCTCATCTGTCCAAGTTCATAAAGATGCTCATCTGTGCGCATGTGTGTTTCCTTGAGTTGTACCTGTCCTTAAGGGACAGGATCGGTGTTCTCAGAAGAAAACAGAAAAAGCCACATCAAGCTGATTTCAAAAACTTAGCTGTCCATTCAGATCGCTGTACTTATATCATGCTTTTAAAAATTATCCTCTTACTCAGAAAAGGCTGAAAGGATGCTGCAAAGGTCTTGAAATTGGCCCCACAGCAGCACCAAATATTCACCATGGTGGTTAAAAGTGGGCCATGTGACAGACTTGGCCCAGGCGGATGAGAATTGATATCTGAAGGGGTTTTCTAATGCCTGTCCGGGAGATCTTAACCCTGAATCCCCTTTTGACTCTTGTAGAGGGATCAGAAAGCCTTGGAGTCTCAGAAACAGGCACAAGCAGCAATAGCTATGTCGCATCAGTAAATCAAATGTGCCCAGGACTGAGCCTTGACATAGAAATCAAGTTGCACAGAAGAGTCCCCTCTGGTACCGTGAAAGTCTTTGAGTCCCCAAGAGAAACGGCCACCTCCAGACTCTTGTTTGGCAATTGTCTGGCCTTGGCTCGCTCCCAAACTGGATACTGAAGTTTTAACCTCAGTTATTCCTACACAAATCTCTCTGAGGTAGTCCTTATTTCATTGTCCCTTGAGAGAAGTCATTAAAGTACCTGGCCAGATTATAGCAGTCACCTCAGATGGTAATAACTATATTGTCAAGAGCTAAAGTTACTTTAAAAGAATCCCAGCTAGTGTCAGCTCATCTCGCCCTATTTGCCATCTTACCTGGAGTGGCCAGGGAGACCAGCAGGAAGACAGCGAAGACAAGGTAGAGGAACTTCATGGCTGGAGTTGAGGTGGGATCTCAGCAAAGCTGGAGAGAGGAGAGTTGGAGAGAGCTCGAAGGGAGGAGGTGGCATACAGGGAGGCTGCGGCTGCCAGTTTTTATAGAGCGTTTCCCTGCAGAGCGGAGGATGCTGGGGAGACACGGGAATTCGTCCAAGTTGTGCTGTTTGTGGGTGGATGTGCCGTCGTGGCACGAGCACCAGAATTTCCCACATGTGCCCAAGTGTGCTGGCAGCCACCTCCTTCCCCCAGATCTGGTTAGCCAATATCAGATAGGATTTCAGCACGCTGGCTTTGATGAGGGCACAAATGAATAGGGGCTGTCAATAGCAGAGTTGTTAGGACTGGGCTGATGGGTCAGAGGGACCTGATGGAGATCTGCAGGTATAATGATGAGGGGAGAACAAGATCAGTATCACATGGCTTCAGGCCTTTCCCAATCTCTGGCAGAGATGCAACTGCAGGCATTAGGGCTGAAATGTGGCCACAATGCACCGATAAATCTCCTTCCATTGTCCAGACTGGTCGCCATGTGGGGCTGTTGGCTTGGAAAGGACCCATGTTCCCATCCCCACTTGTGAAAGGAACCATGTCTGCAAAATCTCTCTGATAAATTTAGCAAACATCATGCTCAATGTAGTCTCTTTTGTTGTCCCCTCTCACCCTCTGATGGATGGGCCGGAGCACTGGGGCTGAGAGCTCCCAGGAGCCTGGATGCGCCGACCACTTGCAGACACTTTGATCATCACCTCTTCCTCACAAACCCTCCAGAGAGATCTTGGGTTTCAAACATGAGCAGAGCTCTGCAAGGGAGCTTTTCCAACCCTAGTTCACTGGGCTGTTTAATAGCTTTATAAACAGCCAGAAAAAAAAGGCGACTGGTGAAGGGACAGAAGCTGCTGCTGAGGCAAAATTGCTGAATACCATCAAAACTAATTCTGCAAACGGCAGGGATCTTACAACACCGAGTAACAGGGCAGCAAAATGTTAGATGCTGAATCAGTGTCAGTTAGTTTAAGGCTGTGAACTAGGAAAAATATATAATCTCTGTACAAATGATGGGTCTGAATTACCTAAAGCCAGTTAGGAAGGAGGTTTGGGAGTCCTTGAAGAGAGTGCTCTGAAAACAGCAGATAAGAACCAAAAAAATTGAAAACTGTACATTAAGAATTTTTAAGAAAGCTATTAAGACAAAAGAAAACATTGCATCACTGCATCAGTCTGTGGGGTATCGCACTGTGGCGTGTGCACTGCTCATCTCCCCATCCCTGATGGCCTACAGTAGGGCAAGAAGAGGTTAAAACAAAGGTGGCAAAGCCAGGGACTCGTTTCCATAAAATTAAATGAACTGGCACTCTTCAGCTCAGAATAAACACTTACTGGAGGTGTATCACAGGGCTGTAAAAATTTGAGAGTCCTAAGGAAGAGAGATCTCTGGTTCTCCAATTTTCATAACCCAAGAAATAGGTGAGATGAGATGGTGAATCATGCATTTACTGAAAGAGTAACCAAAAAAAGTCCTCTTTCACACTTCAGCATAGCTGAAGCATGGAACTTGTGAAGCATGGAACTTGTTGCCCCAAGTTGTTCAAGAGGTCAAAATGACAAATGTATTGAAAAAGCAATTTATAAATTAATGAAGCAAGTACAAAATAAAAAAATTAGATATAAAACCTTCTTGAGGAAGCCACCAAACTTCACGTTACTGGAGGGCAGGGAGTTTTACTGAGTGAAAACATTTTCTTGGACTCCTTCCCAGGCACGCACTTCTGCCCAAACCGGGCTCTCCACTATGACTTGGCTCAGCCTTACGTTCCTCCCTGCGATCTTATTTGAGTACATAAGCTGAGTAAAAGTAAGTGTGAGGGGACTGTGCACCTCATCTGTTTCACCGCCACTATTCCTAAGTGTTGTTCTCAGTGGTTTGTCCAGTTTTTTCTTTAAGACCTTCAGCGATGGTGTTTCCATACTCGCCCTATTCAATCCTTTCTGCTGCTGTACAATCCTGTCATTACAAAGTTTTTCCTATATCTCAAGTGAGGACCTCTTGCTGCAACTGGAGTCACCGACTTCTCATCCTGGCCACCAAGAGCAGACCATTCCTTTCCGATGTATTGCCTTTTCTGGTTTTGAAGACTGTCGTGTTCTCCACGCCTTCTCTTTCCTTTCGACGTTATTCCACTTGCTTCAAGTTTTTCTTACAGGTCACACCTTCTTGACCTCCTGTCACTTTCTGAGCTCCCTTCAGCCGTTTCACTGCTTTCTTGAAGCACGGTGTACAAAACTGGATGGGTGTGCTTTCCAAGGGGTGCGCAGTGCAGTGGGTACGTCCTGTGTTTTACAAACTCAGCTTTTGTTTAAACTTGTAGGACAATTGGTGCTGGTTCCCCAACACCATGACATTGCTCATTTGTGCCTTCCTATGATCTACTGCAACCCAAATTTTCCCTGCAGAACTGCCATACAGCTAAAAACTCCTTGTTCTGTATTCCCCAGCTAATTATTTTTGTCTGTATAGACACAGTAACTTTCCCTATTACTTAATTATAGAATCATAGAATCATTGAGGTTGGAAAAGACCTCTAAGATCATCAAGTCCAACCGTCGACCCAACACCACCACCCACTAAACCATGTCCCTAAGTGCCTCATCTACTCGTCTTTTAAATCCCTCCAGGGATGGGGACTCAACCCCTTCCCTGGGCAGCCTGGTCCAATGTTTAACCACTCTTTCAGTAAAGACATTTTTCCTCATGTCCAGTCTAAACCTCCCCTGGCGCAACATGAGGCCGTTTCCTCTCGTCCTATCGCTTGTTCCTTGGGAGAAGAGACCGACCCCCACCTCGCTACAACCTCCTTTCAGGTGGTTGTAGAGAGCGATGAGGTCTCCCCTCAGCCTCCTTTTCTCCAGGCTAAACAACCCCAGTTCCCTCAGCCGCTCCTCATCAGACTTGTTCTCCAGACCCCTCACCAGCCTCGTTGCCCTTCTCTGGACACGCTCCAGCACCTCAACGTCCTTCTTGGAGTGAGGGGCCCAAAACTGAACACAGGGTTCGAGGTGCGGCCTCACCAGGGCCGAGTACAGGGGCACGATCACTTCCCTACTCCTGCTGGCCACACCATTTCTGATACAGGCCAGGATGCCCTTGGCCTTCTTGGCCGCCTGGGCACACTGCCGGCTCATGTTCAGCCGGCTGCCGACCAGCACCCCCAGGTCCTTTTCCGCCGGGCAGCTTTCCAGCCACTCTTCCCCAAGCCTGTAGCGCTGCATGGGGTTGTTGTGGCCGAAGTGCAGGACCCGGCACTTGTCCTTGTTGAACCTCATACAGTTGGCCTGGGCCCATCGATCCAGCCTACCCTCGAATTATATTTTTTTCATCATCTCTTTAGCATGAGAAGATCCACTGGAATGCTAATCCTGTCCTCTAATGCTTTGCAGTCCCTTTCAACTTCTTATTTGTGAATTTAGTAAGCACACTCTCTAGACAACCATGAAAATTATTAGGCAGGATAGCACTGGACTCACAACAGATTTCTGATCAGATGTGGTGTGACAATTCATTACCTCAGCTTCCTTTACATATTTGCCTACATCCCCTTCAATCAGCATCATAGTCCTTTTTGAAAGATTTCAGGCAAAATACCCAAATAGGTCTCAGGCCAAATGAATGTGATGAAAATCAGGCCAAGTACAAGGTCCTGCCCCTGGGTCGGGGCAACCCCTGGTATCAACACAGGCTGGGGGATGAAGGGGTTGAGAGCAGCCCTGCCGAGAAGGACTTGGGGGTACTGGTGGATGAAAAGCTGGACATGAGCCAGCAATGTGCGCTCGCAGCCCAGAAGGCCAATCGTACCCTGGGCTGCATCCAAAGCAGCGTGGCCAGCAGGTCGAGGGAGGGGATTCTGCCCCTCTGCTCTGCTCTGGTGAGACCCCACCTGCAGCACTGCGTCCAGCTCTGGAGCCCTCAGCATAAGAAAGACACGGACCTGTTGGAGCGGGTCCAGAAGAGGGCCCCGAAAATGATCAGGGGGATGGAACACCTCTGCTATGGAGAAAGGCTGAGAGAGTTGGGGTTGTTCAGCCTAGAGAAG